TATATATATATATATATATATATATATAACTTAGCCCTAATTTGGTCACTTACTTTTGATTGAATTTGATGTGAACTGGTTTTCAAATGCTTGGGTAATAAGCATGTGCATGTTCGGTAGGTTTCATTGACTAAACATCCACCGTCCAGATCATGCCACGTGTAATTTCATGATAAGCCGTTGCTTCACGTTTCTGAAGAAAGCAAAATGACCAAAATGGACTTCCTTATTCTGCCACCTTCCAGAAAAAAAAATATAATAATAATAAAAAAAAAACCACGAATTTTATTTATTTATTTATTATTATTATTAGTTATTTTGTAACTACCTATGTTTAGGATCAGTATTTGAAATTTGGATTCAACATTTGATAGACTCGGCATTCCCCTATATTTCTTGTGACATGGTCACGTTACTTTACAAACTAGCACGAGTTCTTTCAACATGTTTTGTTCCCACTTATATGATCTTACGAAAATTCCTAGACTATAGCAAATTATTCCAAACAAAATACGTTTAATTATGAAGTTCTTGTGATTAAGCAATCGAGAAGGAAAGTGCATCTTATTGGAACAGGTAGACTTTCAATTCTTTTAAACATCTCTTAGTAATCTTATTTTCAAAATTGCTCTCATATGATTTCGATTCATTCATGTATCTCTTATTTACTCGGGTGTCACAATATAGTTATTTTTAGCCTTACGTGAATTGAACTATCAAGCTCGAGAATGATAATTGATGTCTTATCTATTAATTATGTTCATATTTGTTAGTCAACGTAGCTTTAAAACGTTCATTTTGTTCCTATAGGCTTTCTTGATGACTTTACACGACTCGGGACACATCTTTTTATTTCACTGTTAAGCAAATTTCCATTTTTACCCTTCTAGGGCTTCGTGGAAGTCTTCACTTTAATAAATTACCATAATAAATAACCACGTTCTCAATGGTTAAGTAATAAATACGGTATTTATTTAATCTCTTCACATTAATTATCCCATTTAATTAATTATTATTATTCTTTTTGATAAATATAGATTTTCGCCTTCATATCATTAATAAACCTTGATGTGACAATCATAATAATAATAAAATATATATATATATATATGGTCGTTTTCTAGTCTAATTTTAGTTTATTTAGTTATTTATCACATCACCTTAATTTAGTTTATTTATTTTTTTAATAAATTATTAAAAAAAAAACATCCACAAAAAATATATTTAGAGACCAAATTGAAAGTTGAAGAATTCTTACCATTTTTAATATTTAAAATATATTTATAAAAAAAATCAAAGAAAGTAGTCCAAAGTAGTCTTCAAATATTTTCACAAAATTTTATATATATATTTATTTATTTATTTCAAAACATGTACATTCCAAAATCAAACTTCATCTAGAATAATAAATTTAAATAATAATAATAATAAATAAAATTGAATTGAGAATGATTGTTGTCTTATTTATTTAAAGTGGAAAAAAAAATAATAAAAAATAATCAATTTCTTCATAATATTAAATTTATTATTTAATTAAGGCCATCATTTTACTTCTAGAAGCTCTCATTCCTTTCACAAGTGGCCTTTTCCAATATTATATATATATATATAATTTTTCTTTTTTAAAAAAACCCCCCTCTTTTTACACCAACTTTACAAGATGACCCACAAAATTATTTATAATCTCAAGGGCAGCCCAGGTTTTTGTTCAACTTTGAAGGCTTTGCTTTATATAAATAAGTCTTAAGCACACCACACCCTCCATTTGTTAACATTGTAATACAAAGAAAACTTCTCTTTTTCTTTCTCCCCTTCCTTTTCCCTCCCATTTTATCATTATGCTCTTCAACTTCCATCCTCACTATTTTGCTCGGGATCACATCGATGATTTTTCATCTTACTTGCTCTTCGAGGCATCTGGCGACTCGGAGGTCGACCTTGGAGGCTCAACTGCCACCCTGAATTTGGTGGAGTTTAACGATGCTAAATCTTGCACGAAGGTAGAGTTTAACGACGCTGAATCTTGTACGGATGATACTCCTGATTTGTACGATGAATTTGTGAGAGATGAAAATGAGAGTGAAGCGGAGGAGGATGACGAGGAGGAGTACAAGGAGACGTTTGAGAATGATGGGGTGGTGGAAAGCAAGGCAATTGGATTCACAACAAGCTCAAGTGCTTCAATTGATTCAACTAAGGACTTCAAAATGCTTAATGATGTGGAAAAAAACAGGTTGTTTTGGGAGACTTGTTTGGCATCATAGCATCTCCCTAATTATTATTATTATTATTTGGTTCTTTTTTATGAGGCCATTTTTCTACCCTCCTTCCTTTCTTCCAATGTTGTTGAGAGGCTTGTTTCTAAAGTAAACAAACCAAAACTTTTGGTTTTTCTAAGTGTGTTCTTTTTTTTTTTCTGGGTTCATTTGGATTGAACACTCAGAAAAAGGGTAAAATTCAACTTCCTTCCTTCCTTCCTCCCTCCCTCCCTCCTTTGATTGTGCTCGGTTGGTGGCCGTCCTAGTTTGAATTCATCATTAAAATTTGACCTTGTTATATCAAAATAGCTCAAAATCTTGACAGTATCTCTGTTTCAATATGATTGACTATTGTCTTGGTAAGTTAGTGTGAGATCTGACATCAGTTGGAGAGGAGAATGAAGCATTCTTGTGAAAGTATGGAATCCTCTCCCTAATAGACATGTTTTAAAATCGTGAGGTTAATGATGATACGTAACGGACCAAAACAAACAATATTTGTTAGTGGTATACTTGGGCTATTATAGTGGCATCAAAGCTAGATATCGGGTGGTGTGCCAGCGAGGACGCTGGCCCCCAAGGGAAGGTGGATTGTGAGATCTCATCCGTTGGAGAGGAGAACAAAACCTTCCTTAGAAGGGTGTGGAAACCTTTCCCTAGCAGACACGTTTTAAAACCTTGAAGGGCAGCCTAGAAAAAAAAATCCAAAAAGGATAATATCTCCTTTGCTCTTTAGAACACAGGGGTTAACGGCCGTTGAAGCAATTCAGCTTGAAACCTTATTGTTTCGTTCTTCTCCTTAACCGATGTGGGATCTCACAGGTACCATCTCATCCACCACAGTACCTCTAAATACCTTCATTATTCAAATTCTACCATGCAGTCATATTATCTAAGCAAGAATTTCTAGAAATCATAAAAGAACTAATCATTTTCTAGAGGTTCAAAATCTACCAAACTAGACAGCAGAAGCAATTCATTTACCACTCTATAAACTTCTAAAGAACGAGGATGAGAATTATCAGCAACTAAGAACTCATGAAACGTACCTCCAACCTCTATCAAGCTATGCCCAGGAACCTTCTTGACTCCTCTTTCTCTCATCATCCTTCTCACCATTCTCACATCGTCCCATCTCTTCCCATCAGCACAAATATTCGCCAAAAGAGTATAAATCCCACTGTCCTCAGGATCCAATTCCAAAAGCTTCCCAGCAGCTAACTTAGCCATTTCCACATTCCCCTGCTTCCTACAAGCATCAAGCAAAGCTCCCCAAGCCCCTTCACTTGCTTTCATCGGCATCTTTGATATTAGCTCGTAAGCTTCTTTCAACAACCCAACTCGACTAAACAAATCCACCATACAAGCGTAGTGTTCCCTCTTTGGCTCTACTCCAAAGGTATTCTCCATGCTTTCGAAATGCTCCCGACCTTTCGAAACAAATCCTCCGTAACTGCAAGCTGATAGAACGCCGACAAAGGTGATGTGATCTGGTTTTAGTCCCGAGCGTTTCATTTGATCGAACAGAGTGAGAGCTCTCTTGGCATGGCCATGAGATGCATACGCAGATATCATTGTGTTCCAAGAAACTAGATTTTTCTCGGGAATGGAGTGGAAGAGCTTTGCAGCTGCATCAATGCTCCCACATTTGGCATACATGTCCATAACTGCATTGTTCATTATCAAACTCACTTGAAGTCCCATTTTATTGACATGGTTGTCATGAATCCATTTGCCCAGCTCTAAACATCCCAATTGGCCACAAGCAGAAAGCACACAGACCAAAGTGTCCTCGGTTGGAACCAATCCGACAACATCCACCATGTTGTGAAATAGCTTCAAAGCTTCCATTGGCTGACTGTTTTGGGAATAACCAGCAATCATAGCATTCCAAGAGACAATATTTCTCTCAGGCATTTCATCAAACACCTTCCTTGCAGCTTCCAAATCTCCATTTTTAGCAAGTCCATTAAGCAAGCTAGTCCAAGAAAAAACATCCCTTCTATCCATGTTGTCAAAAATCTCTCTAGCAGTTACTAAAAAGCCACATTTCACATACATATCCAACATGGTATTGACCAAATTAACACTGGAGCTTATGTTCTTCCTTTTTATGAGTTCATGAAGTGACCTTCCCATTACATAATCTCCCTTCTGCGAGCAAGCAGAAAGCAAAGCAATCATAGTGACCTCATTCGGCTCAACGTTACTCGACAACATCAAATCAAATAACATTACAGCCTCATCCAAATAATTGTTCGTTGTGTACCCGTTGATCATCGTCGTCCAAGTAACAACATCCTTCACAGAACTTTCATCAAACACTTGGCGTGCAAAACCAATACACCCAGTTTCAACATAGAACTGAATCAATCCATTTTGAACCAGCAATCCAGAACCAAACCCCAACTTCCAAACCACAGAATGCACCGCCATTCTTATTGCTTTCCCGGCAAAGTGGCCGCACGCCTTGAGCGCAGAAACAAAGCTCCCACAGTCCAATTCGACGCGATTCCGAATCATTTGCCGGAAAAACAAGAACCCCATTGAAGGGCATTTAGCTCTGCAATAACCCTTGATCATCGTATTCCACAAAAAGCAGTTAGGGTTTTCAATCTGAGCGAAAACGAGATGGGCATAATGAATGTCACCGGCATCGGAGAGAGCACAAAAGGCTACGACGCGGCTAGCCGGGAAGATTTGGTTCATGAGGCCAGTGCAAATCATGTGAGCTTGAATTTGCTTCAAATGAAACATGGAAGAGCATGATTGTAAGATCAGAAGAGTTGGGTTGGTAATGAAGACATTGGTGAGTGAATTCCATTTGGGTTTTCCGGCGGCTGCCGATGATGAGAGTGGTCGGAAAGAATGGAGGATTTTGAAGGTGAGTTTGAACGGGAAGATTGAAAATCGAGATGAGTTTTGAACGGAAGAGAAGAGGGGTTTCATTCATACAGAGATTCGTGCATTAAAACTCGAGGAAGTGGAGTTCAGTATGAACATCAAAGACTTGGATAAGCCCCCTACAAAAAATTAAAGTAATAAATAATTCCTAATGGATAAATTTTCAGTAGCAACTTTGAACTAATTTGTTGAGTCGGTACCAACATAATTCAAAGAATAAGACATTTGTTGTTAATTTAAATGCCGGTATTTCGATCTCCACTCATATTGGAACAAGAAAATAATGTGAAAATCCAGTTAAAAATAATTCGAAAATAACTCATTAAAGTGGAAGGTACATTGAACACACAAGCCTACAAAATTGACCATTTTCCAATTCCACCATATCTTGAAAACAATCATAATATAATTTAATATAATTTAATACAAATAATAAATGCAGGGAAAATATTTTCAATTACATAAAAATAAACATACGTGTTGGATAAGGATTTAAAATAAAAACACCTAAAAAAAAGGCTGATGTATATATTCACTAATGTTTCTATAAATAGAAATAATTATTTACATTAATAATCAAGTTCTTTTCTTTCCCTATGGATTATAGCATTTAATATTGATATTTATATTTACATAGTTTTCTTTGCTTTTAAATTCATTTTGAATGAAAAATTTAGGAAATTACGAAATTACACCCACATATAAATAAGTTTTCTTCTAAAAAGAGGGATCATCATCATAAAAATACAGATTAGAGGTTTCATATGACCTTATGTATCGTCATCAGCCTCACGATTTTAAAACGCATCTGCTAGGAAGAGGTTTCAACACTCTTATAAGACATGCTTCAGCGCTAGCTGCTAGGGAGAGGTTTTAACACCCTTATATAAGACATGCTTCAGGGCTCATCAACCTCACGGTTTTAAAACGCGTTAGCTAGGGAAAGGTTTTAACATGCTTATAAGACATGCTTCAAGGCTCAGCGTGGGATATTCAACCGATGTGGGATCTCACAATCCACCCTCCTTAGGGGCCCAGCATCATCGCTGGCATGCATACCACTCAGTGACTAGCTCTGATACTATTTGTAACCACCAAAGACTATAGCTAACAGATATTATCCGCTTTAACTCGTTACATATCGTCGTCAGTCTCACGATTTTAAAATGTGTTGCTAAGGTGAGGTTTCTACACCGGTATAAGGAATGTTTTGTTTTTCTTCCCAACCAACGTGGGATCTCTACCCTTAGAACTCCACAAATTCGACTTACCCCGCCCAAATGGCATTTCAAGTTGACTCGGACCAACAAAAAAAAATAATAATAATAATAATAATCTAAGAGATTATTAGATTTTTGAATATATAAATCTTAAACCAAAACCACTCCCGTTATATTAGGGCACTATAAATTAAGAAACCAACTTGATGTGCCCTCTATAATATTTAAAAACATAGAAAATTATTTCCAAATACCGTTTAATCAAAATTTCAACCTCTAATTTGGTAATTTACCAATCATTATACAAAATGAGACCCATCCTATTGTCCTGTTTTTAGAACGAAGAACACTATTAAAAATTCAACAGAAAGATAATTAATAACAAAGAAAAGTCTTAATCCTAGTCCTATCAGATTAGACCCAGACCACCCGACATGCCATAATTTAATCGTGCTTCTTCTAATCAACAATCTGAGTCATTATGAATCTTTCCCGTTCATTTGAACAGTCAAAGATCAGAAAACAAAGAAATGAAGAGAGAATTGTTTTTGTTCAGATGAATGTTCATACCTGGGGTTTCTTCCATTGATTTTTCTTCTTCTTGATGTTCTTCCATTGGCTTGGGATTTCTGTGATTTTCCCGAGAAAATTTTATCTCCCCTGAAGGAAAAAAAAAAATGGACAGATTAGTGAAGCCTGATGTGAAGGAAGTGGAATTTTGTTTCACGAAAGGAGAAAAGTGTAGCGCAACTTTCACACTCGCAAATCTGATGCACACCATGTCTGTTGCAGTTTGTTTAACTTCATCGAATCCTTCTGTTTTTTCGTTTTCGCAAGATTTCTCTGTGATTCCGCCGCTTTCTTCTTCTTCCTACACCATTTCCTGCAAGTCCTCCGATCAACCTCCTCTCAGTAATCCGTCGGACAAAATCTCCGTCCGATCCGCCATGGTTCCGATCGGAAATTCTCACACCGACGACCTCCGCCTCTTGTTCTCCAAACATGGACGCCATATTTTCAAGGATGCTTTGTTGCTCATCTCCTTCGTCGGTCCTGATGTCGTTGAATTCCTAATTTCGCACCATAATCGAATCACGGAGTTGAGTTTTCTTTTTAACAAAGCGATTTCTAGTTGTACGAAGTCTCAATTGACTGCGTTGATGGAACCGGCTATTTTGTCCGGGAAATTAGGGTTAGTTTCTGCTCTGATCGATGCTGGTGTAGACGTCAATGTCAAGGATTCTCTCAAACGGTCAATGATGTCGCTAGCTGTAATGACAGGGAAGATCGATATCGTGAAGCGATTGATTGATTCGCACTGTCAAATCGATTTCTCTGTCGATTTGGTCTTACACATAGCGGCATCGATGAACCGCGTCGATTTCATGGAGCTACTAGTAAAAAAATTTCCCGACATACTAGTAAATTCCGTCGATTCCAACGGTCGTACTCCGATCCACACCGCGGCGGCTCGAGGTCACGTTGAGGCAATACGTTTCCTCCTTTCGATTGGCGGTAATCCAGAGGCGGTGGATCGGAACAAATGGACTCCGCTACATTCCGCGGCGGCGGAAGGACATTTCGAAGCCGTGGAGTATTTTCTAAACTGCTCAAACGTGAAATACGCGGTGAACTCCGACGGAAAAACAGCGTTCGCACTTGCATCGGAGAACGGACACACAGATCTATTCGATTCGTTGAGATTAGGCGACGCATTGCACAGAGCAGCAAGAGCCGGCGATGTTCGAGGTCTAAGAAGCTGCGTGGCGGCAGGAGCAAAGATAAACGGAAAGGACCAGAACGGATGGACGGCTCTGCACAGGGCAGCGTTCAAAGGCAGAGTCGAGTGCGTCAAGGCGCTGCTCGAGCACGGAGCGGATACGGACGCCGTCGACGACGCCGGATACACGCCGCTGCAGTGCGCCGTCGAGTCCGGGCAGGAGGAGGTGGCTCGGGTACTGCTGGCGAGTGGTGCAGAACCGAATCCGTTGAAATGTCTGAGAAGGGATTTGGCTGTCTCCGGTAGACAGATTTCATCTCTGTGCTGTGGAAACTAAGAAGATGAAGAAGATGAGATTGAAGGGCTGAAGAAGGCTGTTCTTCAATCTGATCTTCGCCGTTCTCCATTTTTTTTCCAATAATTTTAGCCTTGTTTTTCAGTTCAATCTGTAAATTGAATTTGTAATTTTCCTCTTAAGAAATTGAGGAAAATAAGCCATTGATTTTTTATTTTCGTAGGATTTTCAAAATTCATTTTACATAATTTATGTATATACTCAAATAGTCAACTTACTATTTAAGAGGAGATTCCATATTTACCCGTGAAATAGAGAGTGTAGAACATCCGTTCAGGTCCACTTTAATATAAAAACATTTTTTGGTTAGGTAAACGGGACGGATGAAAGGATTATATTTTCTGTCTCTTTCTCCGTCCCGTTTGATATAAATATTAAAAATTAAATTATTAATTTTGGTTGGACACTTTATAAGTGAGGAATCACTGCTCAACGTTACGGGATGTAAGCTCCAACAATGGAGATAGTATTTCTCACTTATAAACACAGGATCACTATTTAAATTAGCAAACTTGTGACTCACTCCCAACTTTACAAAATAAATGTTTTTTTTTTTAAATCTATTATTAAAAGTGAAAATTCAAATATTAAAATGGTATTTAAAATAAAAAAAAAAAACAAGCGAAAAGTGTAATTTTCAAATCTTCTGCCACTCGTGGCGCCAAATTTTCAAAACGTTTAATTTAAAAAAGGAAATAAATTCATTTTCCTCCACGCTGGCGATCTGCGTGAAAGCAAGTTCACCAATCACGGACTTTCATTTTTCACTATAAATTCAAACTACACCACCACGGTCTATTCATCTCGCGAAAATCTTCTTTGCTCCAAATTAGTCTGTCCTCAATTTCGTTAAGGTAAAGTAAATATGAGTTCCACCGATGTTCCGGCGAAGGCTGGCAGAGGCAAGAAATCTGCCACCAAGTCCGTCACTAGGTCTCACAAGGCCGGTCTCCAATTCCCCGTCGGCCGTATCGCCAGGTACCTCAAGAAGGGCCGTTATGCTCAGCGTGTCGGCTCCGGCTCACCGGTTTACCTCTCCGCCGTTCTCGAATACCTCGCTGCCGAGGTTTGTGAATCGTAATCGTTAATTTTACTTCCGAGTTCAATTTTTTCAGTTCTCAGTGTTCTGATTATGACTTTTTGTTTTTCGTTTAGGTTTTGGAGTTGGCTGGTAATGCTGCGAGGGACAACAAGAAAACTAGAATCGTCCCGAGGCATATTCAACTAGCAGTGAGGAACGACGAGGAATTGAGCAAGCTTTTGGGATCAGTCACGATTGCCAGCGGAGGAGTGCTGCCTAAAATTCATCAGTCTCTTTTGCCGAAGAAGGCTGGTAGCACGAAGGATAAGGCCGAGATCGGATCGGCGTCTCAGGAATTTTAGGTTGCATTAGAAATATCCGTCGATTAACAGAAAACGAATCAGTTAGGTTATGTAAGATTGTTATTAGCTTCAATGAATCTTTCTTCATCAGGTTCGTAAATCTACGAAACGAGCTTTGGTTAGAAAGGTATCCGTCTTCGTCGCCGATAAATTTCTATAGTGTGTGTAAATGCTGATGAAGTTCACCACTAATTTGAATAGAAAGGAACCAGTTGAATTTTTATTGTGTAAGTTTTTGGGATCAGTCACGATCCGCTTTCTGTAAGTTTTGCAAACAAGAACTGCAAAATCATATTGACAGGATTATTTTATATATTATTTTAAAATGGTATATAAGTTGCGAGTATATTTTCGTGTATAGATTAATATATTATTCTGGAACATGTCTACTTTAATCCTTCGATATTCAATAGTTCTACTGTCCATCATTGTGAATTTTCGCATTTCTATTTCTCCGATCATCCGCCGGAAAAGAACATAATGATTAGTTCATTTTGTTTTACTAAGGGCGACCGAGGGAATCCCTAAGCGGCGAACTCGGTTTCGTAGTATCAGAGGGCTGGCCTTTAGTTGCCTGTTGGCGCTAGCGCACCTGTCTACCTCTCCGCTGCCGAGGTAAGAGCTTCATCTTTCATTGTATCTTTAACTTGTGTTTCCGGTATGTTTATCTGGGGAGTTGTTGCATTCGTTGGAGTGTTTTAGTGCAGTGTTAGATCACTTGAATCGGAATTGTCGTATTTGATTTAGTTTTGTTTCTTCTGCTTTTGCTTTGGAATCGATTGGGAGGAGGATCTTATTTGTTTCTCTTGGTAAATTGGTTGTTGCAGAAATTGTTTATGCGTTGGCATCGCATGAAGTGATGTTACTTTACTATAATCGCATTCATAGCAGTAATCTTGTGCTTTGAAGTTCGAATTCAGTGCAGTTTATTCAGTTTTTCCAGGTGGATGAGTTCATGAAGTTACTAGATTATGTTGATTGATTCTTTGGATTAATGAAGTATTACATGGGTTCATCCCAACATTTTCATGAGATATGATGATGATTTGGTCTTACCTTCCAAGTAGCTTTATATACTTCAAATTTCCATTGGCAGGTGCTTGAGCTTGCAGTACCAGAGACAACAAACGGCGAGGAGCTGACCAACTCCTGAGTGATGTGAACATTGCAAATGGAGTGTTGCCGAATATCCATCAAAACCTCTTGCCTAGGAAGGCGGGATCAGGAAAAAGCAACATTGAATCTGCATCACAAGAGTTCTAAAAGTTTCTGATCATCAACAAATTTTGATACACTAGGTACGTAAGAGTGAAAATGGTTGTGTGGTTTTATTGCCTTGGTTTGGAATCTGTTTAAATTTTATGAACCACACAAAGACGGTTCTCTTTTGTGAGATCTTGGTTGGGATGAGGAACGTAACATTCCTTATAAAGGTGTGGAAACCTCTACCTAAAACCCTCTACCTAAAACGGATAATAGCTGCTAGTGGTGAGCTTGAGTTGGTGTGGAAACCTCTACCTAAAACCCTCTACCTAAAACGGATAATAGCTGCTGGTGGTGAGCTTGAGTTGTTACAAATGGTATCAAAGTCATACACCAAGTGATTGTGAGATCCCATATAAGCAAAGAATATAGGCTCTGTCACATAGTTGAAACTATATTCTATCCTTGTTGCTTGCCTGCTTGGTTGTCATACACGTTTTGCAATTGGAATACACCATTCCCATTTAAGATATCTGCCTTAGGTTGATTAGGTTTGATTGTGCCACTGAATCTACTATTTTCATTACAATCAATCTTGAATAGGAAAGAACATTCAACTAGAACGGCCCCTAGGAAATGTTTTCTAGAAGCCAAAGCAGCCATTTCAATGGTTTGACAAGAATAGGGCGATAGAACAGATTCTTTTACATACTTCGTCGAGTCAGTCGTGTCGGGAATCCAGTGGATCTCACTCATTTGGTGTCTCTACAAACACCATATTGACCCCACCCACCTCTACCTTCCCTCTCTTCCCTCCCCTGAGGACTAGGCTTAGGCTGTTTCAACTATAGGATGATGTCGCTCTGCTCGACTACACGAATCGCCGCTGTGTCATCAGCCACCAACAATAGACAAGCCTTGTTTTGTCCTCCAACTGTTGTCTTCCCTTCCTCCAAACCTATGAAATTTGCATCCACATTGTTCTGCTGCTCGAACCAAGTGATGATCTCCACAACGGTATGATATTATCCACTTTAAACATAAGCTCTTATGACTTTAATTATAAACTCATGATTATTTCTTAAATTAGTCGATGTGAGACTTTTATCCAACATTAAATTGAGGATGGAAGTAAGAATTACCTCAAAATGTTAGGTCAAGGATATTGGTGTGTTTGCATATCTTCTAGAGTATTCAAGGTTCTCATCCAAATTTGGTTTCGGTTTATTCATGTATACTTCTTTTACTCCAGTGTCATATAATCACTAGCTTTTGTATTAGTTTGCCTTTGAACCATGTCTTATGGGAAGAGGTACTATTTTGATACTTTTTGTAATGACCCTACTTCTCTTGCAACATGATCACATTATTCAATACTTGATAGTTTCGACATTTGCCTACTTCTCTTGCAACATGATCACATTATTCATTTCTCACTTCTAAGAATGAAAATTGCCTTGATACTATTTGTTATGGCTCATGTCATGATTTGAAATCTTGATTTGGCACTTGGTGACTCCAACATTTTTCTACATCCCTTGTGACATGATTACGTTATCCATTTTTCGTTTATAAGGGTGAAGATAGACAAATACAAATCTTTTTAGCACGTTTAATCTAAAGTTTCTATAATTGGGACACTTAAAAAGAAGATGTACATTGTTGATGTAACGGGATAATATTATTCACTTTAAGCATAAGCTCTCGTGGTTTTGTTTTGGGCTTCTCTAAAAAGTCTCACAATAATAGATATAGTATTTTTCACTTATAAACTCATGATCTTCTACTAAATTAACGAAGGTAGGGCTCATCTCAATAATCCAATACCCAATCTCTAGATCAAAATATAGATACCAAAACATACCCTTTTTAAAAAAACACCCTTTAATCTTTATTAGTAAACCAACATAAATGAAAGCAAGAAAAGCCCCCATGACACATGTGAAGTCATTATTATCATAAAATATAGTACATAATGCAATTATTTATAATAAAAAAAAACTAGGGGGCATTTTGGGGTTTTGATAAATGTGTTTTCTTTTAGTACAGTATGTTTAGGATTATTTTTGTTGTCCATTAGTATTACAACACGACAGTGTTTTATTAGCCAATCACAGAGCGCCATTAATTGTTTCCAATAAAATATCCCACTTGTCTGTTTCAAATGACAAGACAAAACCCCTTGCAATATATTTAAATTATTATTGTTTTATTATTAATCGGCTGCCTCGTCTTTTTTAACCCGCCATTCTCAATTAATACTTTTTTTTTTTTTTGGATTTTAATATACTTTTTTAAATATTTACTTTTGGATTATGGAATTTAAGCAAATGGGTTTTTTTTTTTTTTTTTCAAATTGCAATCCTAAATTCAATCGAGTCTATGTTAGTTGACGAGGGGAATGAATTTTTTTTTATTTTTTATTTTTTATAAGGATTTTAGTGTATAGTGGTTGGAGCTGCCCTCGAGAAAGAGGTTAAACTATTTGGCAATATCAAACACTCACTAGTCATAACACAACACTAACCTCGGTTATATATGTCAAATATTCTTAATTTTTATAATAATTTCAAAAGTAAGGAGGGTTGGATTGTAGTCCTATTTTTTATC